GGCCGAAGACAGGGTCTCCCTGTGACCTCCTGCGTGTCCCAGGCACACCTAGAGGGAGTTTCTATTTCTGAGGAAGGGACTGCGTTGTGGTATAGGGTTGCTCAGCCTGTCCTTTCTCCTGAAGGGCTCATGGCAGAAGACAAGGAAAAAGAGAAAACATCCTTTAGGAATCTTGTACTTTTAGAATTCAACTTTTTGCTTCTCACTGCTTAATATGGGCCTGAGATGTTTTGTCAATAGTCACAATGTGTCCTGAAATTAGACACAGACAGGAGTAGATCTGTAGAGGCCTCGAAGTGATGACTTAAAAATTTCAGGTGATATTGGTTGTCTTTTGGATTTCTGGGTTAGCATCTGCTCACTAGGACTCCATTCACACAGGGAGAACCATGAAAAATCTTCCCTGATGCATCTCCTTATGCAATTGCTTTGTTTTGCCCCTCTTGCATTTCTCTTTGGTGTGCTGTGAGATGCAGAGAGCTGCTGCAGGTGTGGGGGCTCCGGGTTACCCTCAGGGACCCCCGTGGGATGAGTCCCCAGTCCGTGCTGCAGCCCTGATGGCTGGGTCACGTCCCTTCCTGTAGCTCAGGTCCTGCACAAGGCAAGTGCTGATAGAGGCAAGGTTTTGCCCCTTTTAAATAACGTGTAGGTGCTGTGGCTGCTATTTTAAGTCGGGATTTTCTGGAAAATTATTTCAGCAAGAACATTTCAGCTGAAAATCATTTCAGCTGTTCTTGCCTGCGTGTGAAACCTTTTGGGACATAGTGCTGCTTTATGGGGAGTGTGTAGGATGGGATGGAGTGGCTTGGTGGCAAACAGGACTAGATTGCAGAGTGGAAACTCAGCTATGGAGAAGCAGTGCAGCCTCTCCCTCTTGAACTTTGCTGGGGATGGCAGAGAAGAAAAATGCCCCAGTAACAGACTGACAGGACTGGGTCTCAGGGACAGGCACAGGGAGGGTGCAAGGAACAGCAACATGGCATAGTCTCACAGCTTCAAGGAAGCAGTGACATAGGGACTTGATGTGCCAGGGATTTCAGAAAGGCTGTCTTGTTAAATGGCCACAAATGAACCCATCCAATCTAAAATCCATCTATTTGCCTTTTGGATTTGTGAATGCTTTTGACAGCCACAGCATCCTGCGGCAACAAGTTCCATGACTTAATTAAGAACTGTATGAAAACCGGCTCCCTTTGTTTGAGCTGTAAGCCTGGTCACTTGAGAGGATGCAGCCTAGTTCTTGGGTGGCGAGAAAAACCAATTTTTTTGGTTCTTGCTTTTCAGGGAGCTGAAGGAGAAGGGACTCCTCAACATCAAATGTCTGGCTACCTCCCATTCAAAAGTCCTTCTTTGCAGACTTCGTGAGGTTTCCTTGGCAGTCACCAAAGAGGTAAGAACATTGTGCTGAATTTTGTCCCACATACATGGTGTGTATAGTGAATATGTGCTTGTTCATCTGCAGGTGTGCTCAGTGTCTCCCTTCCTTCCTATTTTTAGACCTTAATTTTTCTAATGGCTGTCACCAATCTATATGATCTGTCTGTACATATAGCTATATTCAGTGGTATGTATGTGTACCCTACATCGCTGGCATGTAGGGTATCTGACACTCCCCTCTTTGAGCTGGGTGCCATTCGAATGCAATATACCAATGCAGAAACCGAGACACTAATTAGGTTATTTGCCACAGCCCAAATCTCTGCCTAAACTGTGCTTTTGTCTTCCTCTGGACACAGTGAGAAGTCTTGTAGTTCTCTGGGACTTTTGTCTTGGGGAACTGATTATCTTTTCAGTGGGCTAATTGTTTCCCCTCATGACTTCCCCAGGTGACCAACCTCCGCTCCAAGGTGTCTCACTCTGCAATTGTCACTCTTGGAGAGCTCTTTGTGACCTTGAAGAAGGACATGGACTCTGAGGTGGATGAGGCTGCTCGGGTCTTGCTCCAGATGGTTTGGAACCCCCCTGAGTTCCTTCAGAAAGCAGCCAGTCAGAGCCTGGGCATCATGCTGGAGAATGTGACTCCTTCACGAGCATTGACTGCTCTCATGGACGGAGCCCAGTATGTTCATCTTTTCCAAATGATATCCTTCACCTTATATTGTGTGGGTGGGGGGAAGGATGAGAGAAAGAAGGGGAATGATGGGATGGAAGGGTCCTTTATTCCACATCTTCTTTGTGCTTGGTGACTAGATTCTCGGACCAACCTCACTTCCTTCCTCTTGTCTCCTCCTTCTGTCCTCAGCACCTGTTTGTTCTCACAGTCTGTCAGCATTGTCTAGATGTGGTGAATGGTGGAGAAGTGAAAGTCCCTGCAGGGTCTAAGGATAGAGGCTTGTGGTGTTGTGGGAAGAGGGACAATTTCAGTTTCAGCAGGGAGCACCTCTGATATTTCACACTAACCACAGAGGTGCTGGGAAAAGCCAGGCATCATCATTATGCCATTAACTTGAGAAATAAGGAGAGTAATTGCTGTGACATGGAGCATGTGGGGGAGGACGTGCTGGGTGTGGCACAGCCTGCACAGCAGATGCAGCTCCTGCCAAGAGGAGCCTTGTATGACTGTCCTGTCCTTCGAGCTCTGCTTTCTCTTCAGATGGATGCTTCATGTTAGACTGGAGATGGTGAATCCCTTTACAGGGCCCTTCCCAGGCTGACTCCCATGGGATAGCTGAACCAAATGCTGCCTTAAAGTATTGGTGCTGTGCCTGACGGTTTCCAACAGGCCCCCTCTAGGACAGGACAACCTGGCTAAAATGACTGCCACCCTTTCCTCAGCTTTGGCAAAGGGAAAAACTTTAAAAATTTATCTCTTGCCAAGCCTCCCAGAACAAACTGCTGGCTGCATTGCTGGATATTCTGCAGCTTCACACCCCACAGTGTTTTTTCCCCCCCACTTGCTTTTTTTTTTCAAGGGTCTGTAGATTTGGAGAAAATCAATCCTGCTGCAGCTCTGTTTGTGTAGTGGGTCCCCACTGCTGGGTCAGCATGACTTGTCTTTCATTTCCCTCTTTTTTTGAGTTAATGATGGGAAAGAAATTGCGTCCATGGGGTCTGAATTCTTCCCTCTTGCATGCAGGCTTTCTTTCTGTACAGTGCCAGCTTTGTGTTTGTCTGAGGACAGGATCTTCTCCAGGTGGCTAAAATTCCAGTTTGAGAACAAAGGCCTCCTTCTCCTGGGGATGGCATGGGAGCCTGCTGTGACCAAGGCATGTGTTTGTGGCTGTCCTTTCCCCTCTGCCCCAGTGTTTGCTCTCATTTCCAGGCACCGCCATGTCCTGGTGCGGAATTGTGCAGCCCAACACCTGCTGACAGTGATGGAGAAGATCGGACCTAAGAAACTGGCAGACACACCCGTCAGGGCCGAGAGGCTGCTGTGCCTGGCGGTGAAGCTTACCAAGGACAGTAACAAG